AAAAGTAATTACGCCCCTTCGGTTTATTCAGATTTAAACATGTTTTATTATTGGCATTGACAAAAAAAAATTTAAAATTCATTATCAAAATGTATTACACATAACACTAAAAAAAATCATCATTCAATTTATTGTTCATTCAAATATAAAAAAGTTCATTTTTTATGTTTGTAAAATCACTTAAGACAATTTTGTTATTTTAATTACAAAGAAAATTTAAAATGATTGAGATGATTGAGATCGTATTGTTTCTTTCTACAGTCATTGAGTCAGACAGAAGAGAAGAGAAAGAGAGAGAGTTAGAGAGAGTGTGTGTAAGAGAGAAAGAACGAAATAAAGAGAAAGATTGATTGAATCAGCTTTACTTGTATTTCACTCGCAGATTTAAATCAGTATACCATTTGTGCAACTAAAGTATATAAGGCAGTAAGGGAGAGAGAGAGAGAGAGAGAGAGAGAGAGAGAGAGAGAGAGAGGGAAGAGAGAGTGATAAAGAATGAATGAATAATGCTCGGTAGCAAGAAAAGTTATAAAAATAGGGATAGTAGTGATGGAGTGACAGGGAGGGAAAGAAATAAAGAGAGAGAGAGAGATAGAGAGAGAGAGAGAGAGAGAGAGAAAGAGAGAGGGAAGAGAGTGATAAAGAATGAATGAATAATGCTCGGTAGCAAGAAAAGTTATAAAAATAGGGATAGTAGTGATGGAGTGACAAGGAGAGAAAGAAATAAAGAGAGAGAGAGAGAGAGTGAGAGAGAGAGAGAGAGACTGAATCAGACACACCCAGAGTAGAAAGGTAGAAAAAGAAAAAGTAGGGGAAGAAAGGAGTGAAAAAAGAAATAAATCGAGAGAAGGAGAGGGAGAGAGTGGAGGAAAGAGAGAGAGAGAGAGTAAGAGAGAGAAAGACTGAATGAATAAGCTTTATTTATAATTAATCTTTATGTAAGGTATTGGTTGAAATGAACAAGTTAGTGTCACGAGTGGGATTCGAACCTACGACCTTCGGCTTCGAATCCCGATCGAGACAATAACTTTTTCATTTTAACCAATACCTTACATAAATATTAATTAACTGAAAGAAGTTGTTTAGTCAATCGGACTACGAAATATAATGGATTTATTTATAATAACTCGCAAGTGTAAATCGTTTTGATCTTTATTACTCTTTACATGATGAAATAAGAGAGAGTGAGTGAGAGAGAGAGAGAAAAAAAAAGATAGTGAGAGGGAAAGCGAGAAAAAATAAAGAAAAAACTAATGAATATATTTTATTTAAAATACTTATAATACTTGCAGTTTTTGGGGGAGAGAGAGAACGAAAAAGGGAAAATGAGAGAGACAAACAAAAAGTTCAGAAAGTTCATCCCAAATCAAAAAACTACTTTTATTTATTAGCATTCGAATAATTATTGTGACAGAATTTAAATGGTAAAATGACAAAATTTTGATAAAATTTTAAAAAAAGTCAAATAATATTGTACATTAGCGATCTGTTCCTGCATCCTGCAACATCTAATAATTGAAATACCACTGGTAAAAAGGCGCTTATTCGACCAAGTTCATCCTGTATGAATTAAACCGCTAATAATACTGATGGCGTAACCTTCTGTGTGAATGTCATATGGATAAATAGATTATTGATCAAGACCTTTGGCGGGCCAACAAAAGGCTAAGTGAGCCGAAGGCTCTTCGAAACGCAATGAGATAATTCCAACACCTAACAAAAGATTGGCTGTAACGATTTGAAAGTGAATTTTTCTCCCTCCGACACAATAATCATATATGATGATTTTACTGCTAATTAAGAGACATTTCACCCCAGATTTGATGAAAAATTTAACTCAATTCCTTACATGGTGAATATTTCGATATCCCATTGATTACATAAATAAATCTTTAGCTGGTAATATATCATAATTTTCATCGCATTAAATTATAAAAATATAATGTCTTTTAATTTATTTTTTATTTATTTTTTTACAATCTTCTACAAAATCCAGTTTTAGTATAATAGAATAGAATTACCACGGTTTTGTAATATTTCTCCCAACAGGGTGATGTTCGTATCGTTACCTTTTTGGTTTTGGTCTGCCTGTCGTTACTTGGTAGGTGCCATCATGATGACAGAACAAGCCAGCAAAGACGGGCAGATAAAACTAATCGATAACGACCAAATTTACAAAGTTTTCCATCAGAAAATACAACAAATCCAACAAAGGAAGCCTAATTATTTTATAACTATGAATTAATTCATGTTAAAATATATTTTATATTCAATGTAACGTAATAAGAACAATTTTAACAATATGGAAAAATAATATCAAAATTCAAGAAGGAGAAAACGTTTAAATGGCTAGTCTTTATACATTGCTAAACAAATAACATTAAAACGTGTATGTACAAATAGAAATTATTGATTTCTAGGTATAGTCAATCTTGTAATATAATTCTAGATAAGAATCGACCTTCACATTGGCCACAGAAAGCTAGAAAAAAATATCTGCCTATACATCACTATACCGTCAAAGTGCATTAGCAATTTGTTTTTGCGTTCTTCTATCATAAAATCGATCAAAACTTTTAAAAATACATTTCGTTTTGATATATTAATTATTAAGAATAATGTGTTTTCTTATTAAACTCTAATCAAATATGCTCTTTGCAAAAATAGAAATCCGTCAAATTAAAACGAATAAAATTATTCAAACCAATACTTCCTGTTACGTACAAAATAAAACGTGGTTAATATATAAAAGGGATTTAGAAGAACAATAGAAGTAAACAATCTCAATAAACCTGTAGCTCTCTGGTGGTGAGCAACCGACAGGTTCGTAGCACTTCCAGACCACACCAAAAATACTGTTGCTAAAACAATAAATTTAATAAAATTTGACTAGTGCCATCCTATTAAAAGTAATAATTAAAAAAAGAAGACCTTCGAATATTTATGAAAAACAAAATTGAAAACTCTGAACGGTCCGAAACTGAGATGAAAATAAATTAAAAATTCTTGCTTGTGGGTGATAGAGATAAATACATAAATAGACAGATAGAGATAGAGAAAGTATGTTAAATAGAGATAAAGATAGGGGGGGGAGAGAGAGAGAGAGAGAGAGAGTGTGTGTGTGTGTGTGTGAGAGAGAGTGAGTGAGCAAGCCTCTTGAATGATACTATGACTAATAAACTTTAAAATTAAACTAGCATAAAAAGGAAATTAAAATATTATTAAGGTAGCTCGGTATATTCTCATATACTCGTACTTAACGAGTCTAAGAGGAAGGAAGGAAAGTAGAGGCAAACCACTAATAAATCGAAAACGGAAAAGAATTCTTTCCTATAGTGCAATCTAGGACAATGCAACACCAAAGGGATGAGCGGTTATCGAAAAACGGTACTAAAAATATACCTCCATAGATTTAATATCAGCCAGATGCAATTTGCAATCACTTAAGAAAACCAACATGAAGATAAAATTGAGTAGGGCTAACGGAAAAAACTATCCAGAAGTGAATGTAAGTGTGAGTATAATTTATTAGCGTGGAAGGTAGCTTATCCCCAATTTACCCGAGGAATATCCAGTACTCTGGGTACAGTGAATGAATGTGCGAATGTAATTTATTAGCGCGAAAGAAGAGATTTATCCCCAATTAGCCCGAGGAATATCAAGTACTATGGGGTAGTGGAATGTAATTTATTAGCGTGGATGTTTATGCCCAACTATCTCGAGGAATGGCCAGTACTCAAACAATGGTAGTATGAAGACTATCATGTTTTTTATCTTGTTTCTGGGTATTTGTGTTTGTTATTTGTCTTATTTTCTCCACAATTGAAGAGGCCCTGAGGTACACAGAGACTAGCAACAGGACAAAAAAGAGAGAGTGTTGGTTACCGTTGTAGCATAAAATATGGAAACTCAACTGGAGAAACAAAAAAACAACATAGCAGTATTAATACGACAGAAAGATAAGAAAAAAAGCTAAGGAAAAGTGGGCTAGCGTTGACCAATGTTGTTTGCCGGCGCTTAAAAAAAATAAATAAAAAATTAATTTAAAAAATAAATAACTAAGTGTTTTTATATATATATATATATATATATATATNTTTTTTTTATTTATTTGTTTATATATATATAATTTCCGCACTGCGTTGTCACAAAAAAAACATTCTATCTGACATTTTAGGTATTGTTAAAGAAGGGTGTGTAAAACGATATCTAATTAAAATAGAAAAACTTTTAAAAAATTATTATATGTTTTTAAATAAATGTATTAATTTTTTTTAATGACTAACGAAAAAATAAATAATTTTAACAAGGCAAACGAAGCAATAACTAATATATGCACCTTAGATTTTTTTAAAAAAAAGTAAAAGAGGGAGGGCGATGGGGAAAGGTAGAGAGAGATTTCATCCCTAATCACCCTGGAAAAACCTTGGAGAAAAAAAAAAAGTTTTTTTTATTTCAGGGTTTGTACATAGGGATTTTTACTCTTTACTAGATATTATATAAACTATAAAAATTGATTTTTAAATTATTACATGTCAACTTTATCAATTTCTAAATAAGCTCATATCCAATGGAAACTCAATCCAAGAACAACAGAAAACGGAAGTCTAAAATGAAGTACAGCCTGCACTATATGCTTGGTTCGACTGTCATTTTAGCCATACTATAAAACGTAATAAGAATATTATAATTACAGGTCTGAATTTTTATGTAATAAAATATTAGAAGTTGTTCTTGACGATGTAAAGAATTTTATTTGCTGAAATGATATATTTATATATTTTTTCTTATATTCTTAAATTAGTTGTTCGTATGTTTCTTAAATCACTGAAATTCACACTATAATATAGATTATATTTTGGTGTTTTGTTAATTGATGATGACCACCTAACTTGTACGTCTCTGATGTTTGCAAGCTTGTTTTTTCTCTTCTCGGTTCAGTGCGATACGAGAAACGGTGCTAATTACAATTGCAAATGTGTTTATTTCTGATTTTATACCGTTTTTCAAATTAATCCACATTCCACGTCTCGAGGACGATGAAAAGTCGAATTAAACTCCTCGTAGTGGTAGTAGAGAAATTTTGAAAGACGTGACTCCCCCGAGCTGCTGACCGACATGCCGCCTCCGCATCGGTTTCCTTTCCAGCAACGACTGGAAGCCCTTCCGCGCCGCCCACCGTTACTCGACCATCCCCACCCGATTCTCGGAACAACCCTTAAAACAACTGCCCGTTATCTCTGTTATGACAACAGCCACTTTTTATTGTCAAGAAATTCCTTCCCTCGTAGAAGCAGTTAAAGTTGAGTGAGTATAATCAATTCATTGGTTGAATTGCAAATGATTTTCAGTCTGGCGATGAGCTCGTGAGCTTGAAAACCGGACTATTGCAGAAAAAAGTTTGTAAATCGAACCATAGTTTACAACCAGTGAATTAATTTCTTCTTTTTTATCCTGCCTTCTCTTCAGATAACTCCATAAAAATTGCACTTGTGGCTGATGGCCTGTTAATGTAAGGCTTTAGGCAAAGACCGAGGGCAAGTTGCATAGCAGAAAGATTCATTTTAGTTTCTTGTCCGCAAGTTATGTTCAAAGTAGATTGGTGATTACATATATAGAAAACGCCTTGGTCTCCTCATGGATGTGAAATCTTCTGGGAAGCTCACATAGTCTCAATAAAGCAGAAAACAAGAGAAATACCTGCCTGTGCAGATATGACGAGTAAAAACGAGAACCTCCTTCTGGAGAGGAGGATCCTCTATTGTTTCGATGGCTCATAAAAAAGCTAAATTAAGAATAAGAAGATCCTTAATAAAGCTTTGGGACCTGATATAAAGCCTTAAGCTTAGTGAAAATAGCTCTTGGCAATAATAAAAATTGCACAATAGACCAATACTGTGAGTACGAAGTATCTTTTGAAAAGGTGAATAGACCAATACCCGTTAGTTGGTCGTAAAAAAGCTTACTCATTTTAACTTACCCTTGTTTATTTTATTTTATACATTTTTATTCTTGGCGAATGAACTTCAATTTCTACAAGTTTAACTTATATTGTCAATTTACTGGCTGATTAATATCAGTTTAATAGTAGACAAAATGACTTACTTGCCTCAATTCCTCACGTTTCTCTTTCTTTTTGTATTTTTTATAAGCCGCTTCTGTTTTCATTTGGAAATTAGCTAGAAGCAAGTGATGATCAGATGTAGCATCTGCACCTCTTTTATTTCTGAAATGATGCGTTATGAATTGGCGAGAAATAGCTGTTATCTTTCTGGTTTACAAGTTTAGTATTGATCACATCTTATTGGAAATTTAACATAGGTTTCAATGGTATCAACGGATTTGTCCAAAACCTTTTAGTTTTTGAGTTATCATTGTTTATTTGAAGCAAGGTCGGGAAATCTTACAAAATCAGAAACTTTTTGGTTCCTTTCTGAATATAGAATCTACTGGCAAAGAGTAGCAGAACACCCTGTATAGACAAATGAAAATGTATTCACCAATAACGTTTTTGTTCACGTGGCCAATATCAAAATCGCTTTGGGCATCGCTTCAAAGACTGAAAAACTTATATTTTGCTTAAAATAAACATTTCACTCCTCATTATTCTTAATGGCGATTGTTGATTGAGGGCGATATAACGGCCTTCGAAACTATAAACCCGAAAGATATGCAGCAGTTTGGAATCACCTTGCTGTGTCTTATCTTTTCTCTTTTAATACCCTATGTTTGAGGTGTGATTTGTAGTTAATAGGCTTCAGACGTCCTTCAAAGCCAACATCACGATCCAGAATTAATTTCACACCAGAATACACTTTTCAACGCTAGTTGAAACTTTCAATTTGGAATTAGATTCTTTCTATCGACATGCTTTGGATTGATAAGATTAGTTCAATTGAACCACAGTAATAATTATTGTTTACACGAGCAAACATAAATTAATATTGTTTAAAACATTAAATGTATGGACCACTTTTTTACTTTCTAGTAATCTGGATCTCGGTAAGGTCTGGGTGAAAAAGAAATTCAATTTATTTTTATCTTCCAAGCATTCGACCCTGATGATGTCCTGAATATAGGTCGAATGCTTAGCAGATAATTGAATTTGTTTTTGTTTTGTTTTTAATCCAGACCATACCGAGATCCAGATCATTCGTGGATAAATTAATAATGTGTGATCAATTTCTTTCAATCTATAAGCACCTCATACATACTGGGTCGTAAAATAAGCCGGTAGTTCATAAAAATACAAATTATATTACCCTGAATTGATAATTGAACTGTGATTTTTTAAATAAGATGTTTTATTAAATTTATTCTTCTAAGCTTATTCTTTATTATAATCAATAGACGGACACAACCACAAAACAAAATGACATAAAAATATTTATTATTTTACAAAGCAAAATTTCGGAGTTCTACTAGCTTCTCCTCTTCAACTGTTTAAAAACCCGTTACTGGAGACTTAGAAAGATTTGTAAAAAGGAAAATTTACAGGAACAATTCATTTTTACACATTTTTTCCAAACTTAATTGTATATACCCCCTATAAAAGACAGTATAGACAACCATTAAAAAATAAAATAGCGTATAAAGTTATGTGTTCATTCCTTTTGAAAAATGGCAAAAAGGAGGGAAAATTCAAAAGGTGCGGTTGAGATGGGAAGTGTCCGAGTGGATCGAGGTCACGATAGCTCAAGTCGTAGAGCAGCGGCGTATCAAGCCGAAGATCGTGGGTTCGAATCCCGCTCGTGCCATTGACTTTTTTATCTCAACTAAAAACCTTAATTAATTGTAATTTATTAATTGGTCAAGCGGACCACGAAATTAGTGAAATTATTAATAAAGAAGATTGTAATAGTTTATCATTCGAACCCGACATACTTACAAATGAGCAAAAAAAAAGATAAGATCAGATGATGAGGTCTGACCCGGACTGCAAATTGGTTTTGTCATTTCCAGTCTGTTTGTTCACTAGAAGATATTAATCATTTTTCAAAAAACTATTTAAACTGAAACATATAAAAGAAATATTTACATTGAAAAATGTCGTTCCAGGGTCCGTACGATTTCAATTTCAAATATACTGAAAAGTGTGAAAACGTGGGTACTGGGGCGATACAAATTTCAAACTTTAAAACAAACAAAATTAATAGGAAAACATTTGTCTACAGTGGGAAAATTACCATTTACAACAGGACTATCAACGACGACAGTGACGTAAGTTTTAAAACTTGTTTATATTTAAGTTACGGCTTTCTTTTTATATTACGCCATCACTTTAGTTTCAATAGTGCCAAACAAACAAAATTATGTAACATTTTTGGTCTGTTTTTCGGACTATATTTTTACAAATCTCAAATCAATTAATCAAATTTGTTAAGATGTTTAACTAAATTGACAAAGAAAATCTCATTTTAACCAACTACCGTAGACAAATTGATTGTTTTAAGGTTTGTCATTATATTGGTTTTCTGTAATTATTTTTATTTGTTACTGCAGCTAGAGTTGGTTTTCCACTCTGTTTGTGTGCTATGAAAGAAATAGAAGAGATATAAATCATTTTTCAAACAACTATTACAACTGAAAAATAATAGCTTTTGTACGACTTGGGGAAAAATGAGATCAAAACTGTTAGTTTTACTTGTTCTAAAGTCAACGTACAATCCGTCAAAACAGGGACTCTCTAGGGAATATGCCGTGAGTAATTTTTAACATTGTCAAGCAAATATTTATTTGAAACGTTTCTTTCCAGAGGCCGTACGATTTCAACTTCAAATATATTGAAAAGTGTGAAGACGAGGGTACTGGAGAGATGCAATTTACAGACTTGAAAACAAACAAAATTAATAGAACGACGTTCGCTTGCAGTGGAACATTTACCCTGTACAACAAGACTATGAACGACGACAATGAAGTAAATTTAAAACTTATTTATAATTAAGTTTCTTTTGTCATTTTGCATAGACCTATTTTGATTAAATAAGTTCAGTTCATTAGAGTCAAAAGTACTTACAAAATTTTTCAAAGTGACAAAAATTTAAACGACAAATTTTGGGCTATTTTCGTACTGCATTTTTACCAATTTCAAGTCAATTAAATATGTTAAGAAGTTTAACTCAATTGAACACACAAAATCTCATTTTAACGAATTACCGTAAACAAATAGATTTTTTCAGATGTTATCAGATATTTTTTAAGTTACGCATATTGGTTACTGCAGCTAGAGTTCGTTGTGGCAAACTGGGGAAACGGTGGATGGATAAACAATTACTTTGTAAAGCGTTTTGGAAAACCATTTTCAACTTGGAGAAACATATTTCCAAAATATTACGACCAATTGTTTGAAAAATTTGGATTCGGCGAGCTACCAATACAACCAGTACGAAAATCCAATTCAGTTCATCATCAGAGTTTTTACTTAAGAGTGGGTTTTTTTTTATTATTGTTAAGTATACAATTTTTTTTAGGGTGTATACAAGGCGAAAGATGTCTATATCATGCCCGATTTACAAATAAAAGTTCTCCCAAACAACAAATACAAAGGGAGATTTTCCTTTTTGGACAAAGGAGTCAAATTCGGCTGCTTAGGAGCCCAATGGGAAATTGCTCCAGCTTCTATACAAAAAAAAGGCTAATCAACAAATAGATTAATAAAACAACCTGAACCAAAATATTTGGTAAATTTTCGATTTGATTTTTAAAATCATGCACATTAAATCATATAATGTATTCAAGAATAATACACCAATTTGAAAATAAAACCTGGTTTAATTTAACACCAGACAAATATACATTTAATTTTGAGCCACTTTTTCATTTTTACATGTATCAAATTTGTTTTCAAATCAGCAATTGGATGAAAATATTTCCTAAAGCCGATCACCATTAATTGATAAATATTTTTGAAAATATGACATAAAAAACTATAAATATAATATATTAATGATTTTTTTAAATTCGTTTACTTGCTAGCATGTTCCATATACATATTACACGTTAGTTATTATATAACTATTATTACTGTTAAAATTAAATTTATGATCATAATATTGCACTAACAAATAATTTTAGATTTAGGTTATAATTTCACAAATCATTAAACCTATAGAATATATTACAGATCATTAAAGGTAAATCCTTAGTTAAAATTCTTTAATTTTTAATTTCTTCAAATACTTTAAAAGCTCGAAAATGTGTCCCTCTTCTGCCAGAGTGGTATAGGCTGGCCCCATGTATCTCCGTTGTAGGACCACGTGCCGCATCACCTGAGCCCTTTCTCTCTCGTAAAACCTGCAGCTTCGACAGTATATGTACAAAGCTCTGGGTCGAAAGTAAGTCGCAAGAGCGTGTTGGAGAGTTCAAATCGCCTACAATTCCTATACGGTGGAGGAATGCCCGACATGAGCCATGTCCGGTAAGAAGTTGTGCTATACGCTTCGATGGTCCGATCCTTCGTATCCCGTGAGGCCGGGTTTTTAACGATGGCCATACACAAGTGCTAGAGCGAAGGTCCTCTTTTCTAAGTTCTCGCCAGGGGCGTCGCCACGTACCACTACGAGTCCATTCCCAATGTAGCAGGGGCTGGACCTTGGAACATTTCTGCTACCCCGTAGTACAGATGGTTATGCACCCTCCCCTGGGAGAGGAGGAGGCCGCAGAACACATTTTATGTTCTGTGAAGATCTAGGTAGGTGCAGGTTCATGCAACTAGGTCAAGAAAAACCACAAGCAAGATCCTTACACCAAGGAGCCGCTGGCAAAGCTGTGGAACTGGTTAATAACCTGAAGCTGGCCAGTGAGTTATAAATAACAGGGGAGCACAATAGATCTATTCAGGTCGAGGTGCAGAAGGCCTTGTGACCGCCTCTTTTATCCCTATCACTATCCTTATCCCTATCCCCCATTCCTGAATATCATGATTTTAGAAGCGATGGTGTTTAACATGAATTGTATTTCTGAAATTATCGCTAAGTCTTCCGCGCACAGTAACCGCGTATCTTACCTTGTACATATCCTACCCTGCAAACATTCATTCGAGTTGCATTTTATTTGAAGAGAGCTTGTTGTTCCATACTTTAACAAAGTTATTTCGTTTTAAATTGTTCATGAATTTAGACGAGATCCGAATGCAGCTCAGCTTAAATAGTAAATATGACCTTCTACTCGGTAAAGCGGAATTTAGTTCGACAAAAAGCAGTATAAGTTACTTTTTTTGGCTCATCTTTAATTTAATTAAACTAATCAGGAGCCAGCTCTTATAGCACGATACGTAAAAATTGGGTATCAATTCTGATTATTTACAACACCAGTCTGAGAAAAAATACTAGAGAATTCTTAGGGTATGATCGCAAATTATTAAAACTTTCATCATTTTTGGCTTCGGGCATTTACATGAATACTGTCTACATAGCTGAACAAATGATAAATCAATATAAACAGTTTCGTTTTTGCTTTGTTTTTTGAATGCTTACCGACTTGATGTCAAACAGACCAATAAACTTTTAAAAAGTAAATACATCACAATGACCCTGTGTAGATAAAAATGTATTAAAATGGAAAAAAATTCAAAACTTATTATTAGATATGACGAATTACCTCAGTACCAAAAACAGGAAGTAGATCTGCCTGATAAAACAATTAATCCATTATTATATACCGAAAATACTCTAACATTTACTATCATTTTCCTAATGAAACGTCCTCTAAGAACTAGATTTATGAATTGAAAACTACGATGGTTTTAAAAAATCAATAATATTTACTGTTAATCTCGCATATTCAGTAATATTGTTAAAGAAGAAAACGTACCAGATATTATGTACAGATATTAAAGAATTATCTAACGAGGCTCCTAAACAATAATTTAGGATTTGCAGTTTAAAACAGTCAGAATACAGAAGAGAATATTGTACAAGGTTGACAAACTTACTAAATAATTCACTGTTGATGACAACTGTCTTCTTTCAGAAACATTCGACCCTCAGATGTACACCATAAACAGATAGATAGATGTATTAGTCGGGTGTGTATTATATTGTGCCCTTTAAGATCTATTGTATCCCCCGTTATATGGTTAAAGCACATCGGTAAGTCCTAGTTCATCCAGGAACTTGATTAATAGGCCCTGTTTCAGTGGTGGAATCTCCTTTACGGTTACGTTAAATGGCCCAAAACATTTCCTCCTGTAGCCCCACAGTTTGTGGCTGTTCATCGACAAAACCTTACGTTTTATTTACTAGACATAACAAATTACTGTCAACACTTATTGCATGATGCAAACGATCAAAACTGACTTTTGCCAGCAAAAGACTGGTGCACATACTTTCAGCGTTGAAAGGTACGTTTAAAACATCATCACATTCAGATTCACAAGCCGAAATCCACCAAAAAGCGGTCCACCCCTCCCTTGTAAATTAGATAATCCATAATGGGTTTAATATACTAAAAACATTTACGGTTCCCTTTCAACTTTAACACATAAATGTCTCGTGATCTGCTGGACCTAACGCCTTTACTTAATATCGTGACTACTAAAAGTATCATCACTGGGTCCTATCTTCAAGTGCCAAATTTGTTAATGTTTTTTATAACTCAATCATTTTACTTGTATTAAATCGCAAATGCTGCTACAACAGCCATAAAAAATAAAAACAATTTAACTTTATCACCGTAATCCCATTAACCAAAATACATACATATCCCTAACAAAATATCAAAGAACACCTCAGGTTAGCTAAATAAAAAATTACAATAAAAGTATACTGTAAGCGTATTCAGAAAGAACACTATTAAAGTAAATAAAATGTTGTATTTGGATATATTATCAGAACAGTGTCGGTAAAAATAACTAAGAAATAAACAACTAAAACATTGAAGTTGGTGGTGTAGGTTGGTCTGAGGGTGTATGAACACATATACTGAATATTTGTAAAATTTTGATTACCGTCTCTAATGGTTTTCCCTTGGCAAGATAATCCAGATTAGTGTTAACTGGGTCGATCCAATCCAGGTCAAGCTGACCAGATCGTTCAGGGTTGAAGCTATGCAAATGTACAAAGAAGTCGACGTGCTTCGCGTTCAGGTTGGTCATTTCCGTTCGTGACTCACTGGCTAGCCCAGTTTTAACCCTTATCTAATCAGCGTTGCGTACCGGCAAGAAATCTCCCTTAAATCTTACGCGCATATGAGTTCCTCGTGGAAAGACATTAAACATGTTTCGATCTTGTTCATGTTTCGAACAGAAATTATTATGTAAAATAGTAGTAATACTAAGAGTATGTAAGTTTTGTGGTGAGATGTTTTCTAGAGGTTTGGAGCATGTAGCTAGGTCGGTTCCAATCGTATGTCTGCCTGATGCGTTTTGCCTCCTGACCATCTTTACTGGCGTGTTTGTGGTCAGACTAATTGTTTATAAAACAATGGATTTTTTATCCAACGTTTTCACGAGAGAATTATAATTGATGATTTATACAAAAATATAATCAATACAATCCATTTTTAAAAGAAAAAAGTTGTTTGGGAATAAACGGATGACAAGGATAACAAATTAAGAAATCCTGTCTGAGGAAAATCCATTTTTACATATTTTACCGTTTTTCCAAGGCACAGATTTTAAAAATTTATTTTACACTTAAATTTTTAATGCTACTCATTTGGTTGTCTCTTTGAATATAAAGACTTCGAATAATCCATAAGTTAAAAAGTCATCCTTGACCCAGAATGGTTTGCCTTACGTTAAGGGGGATGTTTTGAGGCGTAACCATATTTGCATCAATACAGCCCGGAAGGCAGGGCACTTCTGAATAAATCGAGGTTGCTAATAATTTCGCAATTTCTTCCAAGGGCTTCAATGAAACTTGATAAGACTTCGATCTGCTTTATCGCGACCCTCATGGCCATCTTAATAGTGACTCATTGATTCGTTTCTAAGATTACAGGATATAGTTAACATTTATTTCTTGTTCATATTATTAATTATTAGTTGATTACAATACAAAAATCGAATGATTAGCAATTAATTACAATAAAATCTCCCAAAGAGTGGACATTTGGTTTTAATTTTAATTTGACCTGAACACACAAAAGTTACTGTTTTAACAACTTCAAGTAATAACGTACTGTATCTCATAAATTGTGATCATTTTATCCGCAAATATTTGCGACCAATATCCGACTGCAGGAGGTATAGAAATACAATATATAACATTTAAGAAATAAATACAAAACAAAACTAACAAAGAGAAGTCTACGGACGTGGGATCACTGATTTCAATGAAACTGACAAAAAGACCAATCGGACCTAGATGCCGAGAATTAAAATATGTTTTAAGTCATTTAAACATATTTTGTTGATCTGCCAAAATTAAAATTAAAATGTATCGAGGAAAGATTTAAAAAATTATTTGTCTACATTCCACATGGTCAAATATTTCAAAGATCATTAATAGCTTATGTGAAGATAAAATAGCCTACATAAAATTGTTTATATGACTATAAAGTAAAATTTATTACTTCCAATCGGTTATTGAAAAACAGAAAAAATTTACCCTTTGTCCACGTTTGCTTTTATTTAATTAATAAAAAATAGATGTAAATAACTACGTATTAGTTGTCATGCAATGTTCTGATGCAGAGTGCATATGA